TGATCACTGCTCCCAGTAAATAACAAACTTGGGTTGCAAGTGGCCTTACAGATAACAGTCAGCCATCCCATTTCCAGCAGAGCTGGGATCAAAATGCAGGGCTCTGGACTCTGTCCACATTTCCTTCACAATGCGCTGATTTTCCTTGTGTCTTTCACTGTTCCTGTCAAAGACAGGCTACAAGGCAGGAGAGTACTTGGATCCAACAATCACGTTTGTTTTTATCCAGATGTTTTGGCCTTATAGGCAAAGCCTTTCTTGATCTAGGAGGCCATCCAAAAGTCTGGAGAAAATTAGATAGTTATTCTAAAATTAAAGTTACTGTAAGAATGGCAGGAAAGAAACCAAAAAATTTAAGTTGTGAACAATTCACATATATATGGTGGTCCAAGTTGATACAAGTTAAAATATATTATGTAATTATGGTGTATTTATATCAATTAACACACATTAAAATATGCTATGTGGTTCATGGATTATTTATATCTACCCACTCTTAAGTATTGGGTGTTTTTAATGAATACAATATGTTTAAAAACTCATAACCAAATAGAAGCCACCACTCATGTTTGCATATTAAAACAACAAAACCATGCTTGCCACGTTGTAACAATAAAAACATCATCATTATAAACTGTGATTATTGGGGATTTCCTGAAGTGTCTGGCAGGAAAAGATCTGGGTTCAAGGTTTTCCTTGGCCTCTTTCGAGCTTTATGACTTTGGGCGATTCACTTGTCCCTCCCAGCGAATGCTTGAAACACACAGTGGACCAGACAAGCAGCTATTGGTTCCCAGCCCCTCAGCTGCTCCATCTGATGATGAGGGGTTGTTAGTTACCACCTAGGTTTCTATTAGTACATCTTGGGTGGCCTTGCTGGGAGTTAAATAGCAAATCAGATGCTGTCACTCCCCTGCTTAAAACGCTCCCTAACTGGTCTGTCCACTACGGTAGCCACCAGCCACATGTGGTTGAGCTCAACTGAGATGTACTGTAAGCGTAAAAAACACACGAGATTTCAAAGATGTAGCATGAAAAAAAGACCGTAGAACATCTCAGTAATGTTCTACGTGGATCACAGGTGAAAATGACAACATTTTGGCTATCTTGGATTAAATAAATTTACTATAAATAGTTCATTTGTTTCTTTTCACTTTCTCTTTAACGTGGCTATTAGAAAATTTTTAATGACACAGGTGGCACACATTATATTTCAGTTGGAAAGCACTGATCTGTAGCTCCCACTGGCCTCAGAGGAGAATTAACCTCCTTAGCAGGGTCCACTGTGATCTGGTCCTCACCTCTCTCTCTCGGGTCCCCTCAGGCATTCTCCCTGTCCCTCATTACCCTCCAGCCACGCTAACCTTATGATCCCTCAGACACAGCAAGCATGCACCCACCTTAGGGTCTTTGCATTCATGACTCCATCCTTCTGGAATGTTCTTTCCTTGGTGGCTCTACTCATAGTTGACTCATTCTCCTTCTTCAGGTCTCAGCTCACATGACCCCTTCAGTCAGGCTTCCTGGATACCTGATCTGAATGGACCACACATCCAGTGAGTCTCTGTTTATTTCCTCCAAGGCACCCATTAGCACCCTCAGTTACCTAATCCAATTATCTGTTCACCTGTCTAATGCCAGTCTCCCCCCAATAGAATAGAAGCTGTGTGAGGGCAAGAACCTTTCCTGTCTTACTCACTGTCTGTTGTATCCTCAGCCAGCGCCTAACCCATTGTAGTTCTCAGTTCAATGTTTGTTGAATGAATGAATGAACAGTGAAAAGAGCATGAAACTCAGAGTCAAAAATCCCACTTAGGACGAACCCACTGGTAATGATGGCGATATCACCATCTTAGTCCCAGTGCTAACTCTTTTCTCTATAATCAATCCTCAAGAGTCGTTATGGGAGGTAGTGTGATATAGGTGAAAGGACACAGTCTGGAGTTAGAAGCTCTGATTTCAAATTTCAGCTGTCCTGCCTACTGGCTGTGTGACCTTGGATGGAGTCCCTGACTGTCCCAAATCTCTGTTTTCTCCCAGAGAAATAATTAGAATTATTATGGAACAACCAGAATTATTCCACAGTTGTCTTGAAGTTCAAGTAAGATAAGAGCTTTATCAACCAGAGCACTCTAGTGATATTTATTAGACCAAGACATTCTTGAAATGGAAGGACTCTTGTATTTGCCCGGGTGTCCCTAGCACCTAGCACAGGGCTTGGCTCAAGGCAGGGGCCCCCAAACTGCTTGATGGATGAACGAAGCTTCTAATAAGCCCCAGCACCACAAGGCAATGAACCTTGGGAAAATCAGATCTCTCTACTGTTCCAACCTGGAAAAGATACCCCATTTTCTTCCAAAGAGAAGCAAAAGGACCTCAGAGCCGGAGTGAGGCTAAGGTGTCATGGCCACACTTCCTCCATTTCCCAGAACAGTCCCAAATTCTAACAGTCTGCCCTGGTGTCCAGCCAAGACTCTGACTATAGGACCCCTGGAACATTTGGCTGGAGAGCAGGGCTTAGAGAGTCAGAGTCAGCATCCTCAGCCGGGGAGAGGGCAAGCTCTCGCGGGGAGTGCGGATCACCTTTCTGCCCACAACAGGTTCTTTCCAGAAAGGAGAGACTGGACCACTCCAAGCAGTCGCTCCTGATTCTCATGTTCTGAGAAATGGCCACAATATCTGCCTCCTTAATTGAAACCAGGCCCAAGGGTAAAAATAAGGAAGGGGAAGAGGGTCTCGTGTTTGGAGCTAAACAGTATGAAAGTTAATAAAATTAGAATTATTCTGCGGAACAATGATTTCTCAGGATGGGGCAAGGAGGGCAGCTGGGAAGGGAATGGAAATGACTTCACTGGGGAGGCTTCTGCCTGGTTTGCAAGGGATAAAGCTTGTCTTTGTTATTCTCCTGGCTTCTGTTCCAGGAGTTCTGAAATAGAAAGGCTTCTGGCTTGACAGCCCAGCAGTTCAGCACTATTGTTCCTAGGATTTGCTACTGAAAGGGCTATTCACGTAGAAACCTCCCCAGGCCAGGCTTCTGTTGGCCTCCAGTTTATTTACACACGGGTTTAACACGCAGCCCACCTTGGAAGTTTGGACAAACCAGACCAGGTGTAGCACTGTGCCACCTCTTCCTAGTCCAGCCTTGCCTGCTGGCCGCTGATTAAAAGCTGGAACCCAAGCTCCCTTCATTCCACAAATGTGTTCTGCGGGTCTATCACACGCCAGGTGTGGGGGCTATGGGTGGGGGCCAGCAAAACAAACATCAATTAGAGCAGAAATCCATGGAAGAAGAAGAGGCCACCTCTTGTCCTGGAAAAGAGGAATCCCAAACAGAAAGCCCTTTCTAGGAATCCGAAAAAGGAATCACAACTTGAGATCACTGGTCAAGATTTGGGATGGATGGAGATGATGATGTGTTAACCAAATTGCAGGAGGCTTTAAGAAGGAAAGCACCTCCAAAATGAGAGAAAGCCCCAGAATGTGACCTGCAGCTCCCTCGGCCCCCCAATTCAGTCCCACATGATGTACTTGGAGATGACCCTTCAGTCTCCCTGCAACCCAATTTTATTTTAGCCCACTTGAGCCCTGGATTCTGGCAGGGGGCGCTGCCATCGTGGGTTACAGGACGAAAACCTCAACAGAGCAGTATTCTTCCCAGGGTGAAAAAGGGCTCGTGTTTAGTCCTCTGTCCTGCAGGGAAAATGCCTTGGGAAACCCAGGTCTCTGGAAGTGGCTCAGTGGGGAGACGTGCATTTACAGGCAGACAACACGGCAGAGAGAGGGAAGACCGGCCAATTGTGTCTTATAGGAGTTATGTTAGATGTTGCAAGACACTCCATCTCAAGGACGTGCGAAATCCACACATGGCATCTTGCTTGTCCAGACTTGCGTCACCCAATTTTTCTGAAAAATACTCATTTCCTAGTGTACGGCTTGTAATCCTGTGGCCCTTCTCCCCAGGTGAGCTCTCATTCTCAGTCTCTCAAGTTAAAGCCTTGCTGGAGAATTCAACTTTGGACCAGTTACCCTCTCGGATCCTATTTCCCCATCTATTAAATGGGAGTGATCAACATCATCACCATCATGGTATTAACAATAATACCTGAGATAACCATGAGGCTATAATGAGAAAATATGGCTATAGGGGTAAAGATGTACATCTTGGCATTTATAATCGGGAGGACTGACCCTAAAGCAAGTTATGAAAGACAGAATAATACTTTACAAACACTAATTTTTTTTTTAAAGCCTAACTCACTGGAATCGCACCTCCTCTCTGGTGATTAAAAAACTTACCTAAGTTCGGGAAAAGTTCGCGGGCCAAATCAACGCTGCTGCCTACTACCTGCCTCCCCCCTCTGCTTGGACCCCCCTACGACAAGGCAGAAAGGGTGGGAAGGGGAACACAGCTCAGCATTTATTTTTGGAGCCAGCTCACTAAAAATACCTCGGCTTTCCCGTTTGATCACTCTCCCTTTTGACCTGAATGGATCGCGGGGCCCAGCAGCCCGCCCCACCCTCTGCCCGTTGTCCTTTAAAGGAAAAGGGCGTGGGGACGGATTCCTGCCGCTCGCTCGAGGGACAGATGCGAGCCGCCGGCCGGGCAGGCAGGGGCCGCGGCCACACTGACGTCAGGGCAGCGCTCGCCCCGCTGCAGCCTCCCAGTCGGGCCGAGGCCCCCCGGAGGGCGGGGGGGGAGCCGCGAGCTGGGATTGGCTGGCCAAGTGCGAGCGCCCTCGTGGATTGGCTGGCGAGGTTTTAGAGGGAGTCCCACTCTCCAATTAAAGGGCCCCGCTGCGCCCGGCAGCGCGCAGAGCTCCCCCTGGGCCCGTGAACCTGGCCATTCAGCCACCGCTGTCCCCGCTGCGCGGCCTCGCGCCTCTGCCTGAGAAGCCAGGCGCTGTTTCTCCGGCCCAGAAGAAGATGGCAAAGGTGGCCAAGGACCTCAACCCAGGAGTTCAAAAGGTGAGCTGAGATCTGTCTGTACTTAGATTCCTTCTTTTCCCCGTTTCCCTTTCCCATGTGTTTGCGGAAACTTACCTAGAGACGGACACAATTCCAAGACTTCACAGGAGAAGGAAGAGTTGGGAATACAAGTTTGAGCTAACAGGCACGCACCGCAAAATTTGCTTTTAAAAGCCATTGTGTAAAGTATTGGCAAAGGACCTTAGTTCTTTGGTGATGCTAATTAAAATTTAAATAAGGTAAAAAACCTTTTTAAATGGTAATCCTGTGGTTTGTAGGGGGAAAAACTCAACCTTTCCCTCTCTCTTCCCCGTCCTATGATTGAAGTGAAGGGGGAGGGCGTGTAATATTTACTCACAAGGAATCTCCCCTTTTGCCGTTATCCCACTGTTTTGTGTTTTTCACACACACACACACACACACACACACAGAGTTTCTTTAGTTGGTGATATTGGCAATGGCAGCAGATCCAGCACCCGGGAACTAATTTCCATCCCCAGGGTCTGCACGTTTCTCTTTCAAGAGGGCTGGCCGGGAGCCCAGAAGGTCACGGGTCAATTACCACAGGAGGGGCCTGCCCTGTGCCTGTAGCTCCACCACTGGCTGGTTGCCTACCTGAAAGCAGTTGGGAGATGGCACAGGCGGGAATCTTAGAGGACACGTGAGCTGGAAGGGAGCAGTGAGACAGCCAATGAAGAAACTGAGGCCCAGGGTCACAGAGCCTGGATTCCATCAGGCTGCTGAGCTTAAGGAAAGTCTTAGGCATTGAAACCCTGGCCTGCCACTTTATATCTGCACCATATTGACCAAGACACTTTTCTGAGCCTCAGTTTCCTTGTCTCAGATGTGGGGATGTTAGGCCGCGCCTCCCGCAAAGCAGCAGAAACAGCCATGGTACTGAGATTAACTGTGGATTAATCTCGCAAAGCAGTCGTTTTTAAACTCTGATTTCAGGGGATTTGGTCTTGCAGGGCAAAGACTTCCTTAGACATCTGTCATCACCTGTGAGGTAGAATGAGTGGCGAAAAAAAAACCTTATGTCAGAATCAAAATAAAAATGCAAGCCAGCCACTTAGAGGCTCAGCATTCATGGATGTGATTTATAGCTGCACAATTGCACGGCGGATCTGCCCCAGACTCCCGCACACAGAGTCCAGGGAACCCTTCTGAATGTGTACACCAAGTCAGACTTTATCTGGGCATCTCTCTGGAATGTACCATGCCCCCGTTGCATTTGCCAGACTATTTGCAGAATCAAGTCATCTCTCCTTCTGTGGAATTCTCAGAACCCTTTAGACCTTGGTAAGATACCTATTAATTTCCACCTAGTAGTGAGTCAGGCATGCACTGCTCTTACTTCTCTACACATCTTTCTAAACTCCTTGAGGGCAAACCTTCCTTGCTCATCTCTGTTCCAACACAGCATGCCATCCACAGCAGGACTCAGCAAACTGTGAGTGAACCGCTGAATATCCATCCAGCGAAGACCATAGTGTGTGCAGACAGTACATTTTGTGCATTCTTTTTTAAATTGTCGCATCGGAGTATTTGTGTGTCTGAATTCAGCAAATTCAGCTGAGGTAAGAGTTCAGAGCTAAAAGGGCAGAGTCCCCGTGTCCTCTGGAAAGTCAGATGATTTGGGTGGCTTTGCTACAAGCTGGTTGATGGTTAATGTGTGAAGTGAGATGGGGTTCGTGGAATACCCGCCTCCCGCCTGCGGAGGCCACCACTTGGGAGAAGCCTCGTTTTTATTTTCCTGTGCAGAGGAGAGTGCGATTATCTGGATTAGAGGCAGGACATGTTCTCCTCCTTGTCACTCTCGAGTGCCAACTTCCTTGGCCCGCAAAGGGTTTATTTTCCATTTAGATCCAATTACAGGCTTAGAGAAAGAATGTGGTGGGTAGAGATGAAAGGGCGGATATTTTTTACCTCTTGGGACCGTGACAATCAGGAGGAAGATCACCACTTTGTAGATTAACCAATGTCTTCAAGAAGCCGCGGGCAGGCTCCCCACGCTGCAGTCACAGCGCTGATTAAACGCTGTGGCCGTCAACAGCATGCTGAAAAGCTTTTACTGCATATTTACTTTTCAAATCTGCAACAGTGGGGAGTTTTATAACATTTGGCTTCAGGATGCGTAATCACACTTAGGCGTTTTGAAACGATTTCATAGACTCTTAGAGCTACAAGGGACCTATTTACAAAATGAGAAATGGTTTAAAATGGCAAGCAAGCTGTCTCCACCGCCATGCTCCAAGGGGAGGAGGGTACAGGGAATCCCCAGCAGCCAGAAAGTCATAAAAAGGTCTTCAAGAGAGAACAGCAAATCCAAAAACTGGAGTAGCCTTCAAGATTCTCTAAGCAAACCCAGAGAGACGGAGGGACTCACCGTGGGTCACAGACACAGTTAGCAGCAGAGCTTAGAAACAGCTCCCTACCTCCTCTCATCTGCTAAGTCAGATGCTCCGTTTCTTATAGTGGAATCAACCACTATTGTGGATTTGTTCTTCTGTTGTTTATTGAGTGTGTTTAAGAATACTGGTTGCTGGTATTCTTGTAACCAGATCTGGGTTCAAATTTTAGCTCCACCACTTACTGGCTCCGTGCTCTTGGTCAAGGTAATTAACTTCTGACCCTGTGTCCTCATCAGAAAATTAGGGAGACAGCAGCGGCATCACCCTCCCCAGGTGTCTGTGATCATTAGGTGAGATAATGTCTATAAAGGGCTCAGCATGTGAGCTCTCGTATGGAGTTAGCCATTGTTATTGTTGGTGGCGGCGGTATATTTTGATGGGTGTGTGAATGCTGAAAAGCGTCTTTTGGTGAATGAAGGACACACTTTTCTTTATGACCGTCCTGCCTGAAGAGCAACTAATTTTCATTCAGCTGAAGCAAAGGCAATTGCTCAGCCTTGATAATTTAAGACAGTGACCAATGATCTTGTCTTCGTTCCAGCCCAACAGATACAAAATCTGCTTACACCAAACAGAGATTACCAGTTATTGAGCCTTTCACTCTGGAGTCATAGATTTTTAGGCCTGGAAGGGGACGTGGAGCTCTTTGCGCTTTTTAGGTAAGGAAACTGAGTCCCAGAGGGGTCAGTCTCCTTATTTGAGATCGCCGAGACGGAGTGCTGCAGCACATCAGGCTCTGCAGGAATACAGGCCCCTTGGCTGCCAAGGAGCCATTTGCAGAGATTTAGGCAGGACTAGAAAAAAGAGATCTAAGCATGTTCGCTGTTGACTGTGCCTGTGCCAGTGGGCTGGCTCCAAAGGGTTCTGTTTTTCACCCCTCAACACAGTGTCGGAGGAGCATTAAATGATGGTTCTTCTAAGTGCGTTGCCAGATTCAGCTGGGCGTCTCCCTCAAGCCTTCTCCACATCACATCCCTCTTGGCTTTCCTGTCCTAAAGCTTCGTCCTCCCCTCTGTACTCAGCCCTTCCTGCTTTCACCTCCAGTTCCTGCAGCGTGCAAAACTGCTGGCATCTTGCCTGGGTGAGCCGATCCAACGTAAACATGGCTCCTCGAGAATTGTCGTTGGCTCCCTCAATTGTAAAAATATATTAAGCTGTCCCTTAGAGACATTAATAGCCAAGGCACTGGGGACCTGCCCATAGGTGTATAAGCCGCTTGGCCCAAAAGAGAACCTTATTTAAAAAAGAAAAAGAGAAAGACATCCAAGTCCTTCTTCAAGGATCTCCAAAAACAGATGCTGAAGCCATTGCTTTGTAAATGGCAGATGCTTGTCATATTGTGCAGATGTGTCTGAACATGTGGGCTTGGGGGCTGGCGATTGACTTCCAGCAGTGCGCCTGCCACCTGTGGTGAGAGGCAGGGGGAGGCTGAATCACAGATCATCTCCCGGCTTTCACCTAGGCCATCCAGCTCCAGAACCTCTCCGAGCCCAGGGCTTCCCCACGGTTCTACAAGCAGGACAGGGGAAAATTGACTTGGGTATTCCGCTCTGAAGATCCTGTAGTTTGATCTTCTCGCCACATTCACTGATGAAAGGTGACAAGGAAGCAAAAGGATGGGCTGAATTCAGCAAAGGCAGGGGCCCGGAAAGGAGGGACAGCCACACAGGCTCGTGTGTGTGTCTTTCTTTCACGCCCCTCCTCAGGCCAGTTCTGGTGAGGATAAGGGAAGGGGCAGAGAAGTGAGGGAACAGTTCCTCTGGCAACCCAGGGCAGTCAACTGGGCTGCAGAGGAGGATTTGATTTGACTTTGGGAAGAAGAATCATTCGTTCTTTTCAACTTGCACATCCAAAATAGTGTATGTATAATAAAGTGGAAATCTGTCATGATGAGTAAGACCCTGGGAGTTCTTATCTCCTTAGTGTTCATCCAACACCATTTAAAAATGTTTATTATAAGAAAAGTTTTCTGGCCAGGGGTTGAGTCATTGTAGTAACTGCAGGCGTTTACTCACCGGGTGACTTTGGACAGGTCCCTTTTCCTAAAAGTGGCAGCCTCTGGATGGGAAGCAGACTGCCTTCTCGCTCCACTCCGCTGGCTTTTCCTCTACACCAGGCTGTCTCCAAAATAACAAACGATTATGGAAAAATAGGCCTAAAACTTCGTTCCACTGAAAGCAGAATTGTGGAACGGCTTTTCAAGACATCCAGAAGGAAGGGACAGCTGTTTCTCTGTAAGTGTCTTCATTTGGAATTGTCCTCCCTCCCGCTTTCGTTTGCTAACAGGAAGAGGGTTTGGCTGGCAGCTGCCATGATCTCACCAGGTGCAAGGCCACCAGCCCCTTCCACAGGAGTCCCTCAAGATCATGACATTCCCTTAACTTCACATGAAATGTTCCGGGCGTCCTGCACCCCCTCTTGGAGCTTCACACATATCATTGGCACAGATCTGCAGAAGTTCTAGAAATGCTTTCTATAAAGCTTTTATAGAAAGAGTTAAACAAGAACTTGGGTCTCATATGTGTACCTAGACTCTTTTTTTGTTTTTTCTTTTTTTTTTTTTGAGGAAGATTAGCCCTGAGCTAACATCTGTGCCCATCTTCCTCTACTTTATATGTGGGACGCCTGCCATAGCATGGCTGGACAAGCAGTGCGTCCCAGGTCCAAACTGGCCAACCCCAGGCCGCCGAAGTGGAACGTGCGGATTTAATCACTGCACCACCAGTCCAGCCCCACCAAGACTCTTTTAGTGGCCGAAACTTGTATTTGGTATCTAAGCCTAAACGTTTGATGTGGGAATGCAATTGTGTTTTCACGAAAACGGAAACAATAATATAATTACAAAGCTTTGCAAAATTCCCAAATCAACTCTTTGGCTCATTGTCTGCTCTTTAATATGAGAAGCAAACCCTTTTACATTTTTTCTCAGAAGGGACGTATTTGGTCTTATTTTTATCATTTATTTGGTCTCTTGCCTTCTAAGGACTCTGCAGGAACACTCGTCTGTTCTCTGTTAGGACAGACAAGTTTGGGGAAAGGCAAGAAAGAGGAAGGCAAGGCATCTCTTGATTGCATGCAGGGGGCTTGCCATTTTCTCCCATCTTATCTCCTATAGCCTTAAGGACTATCATGCAAAAATATTAATGTCCTTTTACACACGAGTAAATTAAGACTAAGAGTTTAAATGACCTGCCTAAGATCGTATGATGGCAGGTTAAGAACTCAAATACGGTCTTCTCTGATTCCAAAATTTATGCTCTTTCCGCTATAAGAAGAAACAAGAAGGCTTCATTGGAAGCAGAAGCCTGGGAGAGAGGGACTATGATTACTACTATGAGCTTCACACCAGGATCAACGTCTTCCTACACACTGACAGTCCGATTCAGGAGGTGCCCAGCATTTGCCAAGTGCACCTCTCTGATATCTCTTGGTCACTACCAAGTGTATACTGTCACCCACACCAAGTCAAAGCCACTTCCCAGGGATAGAACAAGGGCTTTCTAAATTTCTCCTGGTTCCTGGTTTTCTAGAAGACTGATGGAACGCTCTAGGGAGGAGGCTGGTAGAGAGACAATCTAAGGAATCATGCAATATTGTCATGAAATTACTGAAGAAGCAGTGACACTTGACAAAAAAGAAAACAAATCCTAGAGATCCCAGTCCCAGAGCTTCCAGGAAATTCTAGCCTAGGGATAAGCTTGGCTTCTGGAATGTGTATCTCTACACGCCTGGTCAGCCTGACTCACAGTCTACCCAATAACACGTGAATCAAGACCAAGCAAAACACAGCCCGAGCCCCCACCAGCACACGCTTTAAAAGGAAATAAGATCGCTGAGGGGGAAGAAACCAAAGGCTCCATTTGGCAAGTCACTCTTTTGAAGGACAAAGGAGCACCAGGGTCCATCCCATGGCGGCTGTTTTAAATCCACATGATTTATTTATGGATTGTTTTCTTTTTTTCTTCTCTTGTTTTAAAACATTGGATCCTTTGTAAAATTAATCTTTGGAGAAAAACACGAATGAATCATTGTATAAAAG